GAGCCATGTGAGACACTTTTTTTTATGGATGGGCTCTTTTTATTTCACTTCTTTTGGACTGATGCATGCAACACCCGCTGAGTGGCATTAAACAGCTTGAAAGATCAAAGACGATTTTTAATATAACTCCGACTGGATTCGTCTGAAAGAAGAAAGTCACATACACCTAGGATGACTTGAGGGTGAGTAATTTATGGGCTAATTTTCATTTTTGGGTGAACTAACCCTTTAAGGTCAATTTAAAATGAAATCTTTTACTTTGGGCTGCACTTTCTTGTTGCACGTGTTTTCTATTAAACTATTCCAGTAAATAATCCCAGGAGTCCCATTGGAGCAATAATCAGATTGTTTCTACAAGAATATGCTAAGCTTAACTGCAGAGTTGGATCAATTTAAACTGGTAATAAGGGAACAATTAACATAAAAAACAGCAAGATGCTTTCCTGGCCTCATCTGGTCTCCAATCCTGGTCAGGCTAATCTAAACCCAGCAAACCACTTTAGGCTGGTTTTGTATAGCAGAGATGGAAATTCTTTTTGAGAAATGGGAACTGGAAAATGATCAAAACATTCCTGATAACTACACAAATCACACTGAACACCTTCAACATTAGCTTACTGGCCAGAAGAATGTAATAGTCAAGCCATGTTTGAAGGAATAAAGCTTTTCTTATAGAGCATGTCATCTATATATTATATAAACATTTTCTTATAGACAGTGCTAGGTAACTGATTTCATGTAATCTGGATTACGTAATCAGATCCCAAAAACTAAGTACTTTTTATTGCATTATATTACATTTTAAAATACTTGTAATCACAGTAACTTTTTATTGATTATATGATTATATACTATTTACACATTGGCAAAAAAATATTCATAATTTATCTGATGATTCTCCCTAATTCTTCTTTTTCATCTTTTAAATGTTGCTTTATAAAATATCATACTTCTTATATACCTGTGCATATTCAAATATTTATTATTTTTAGTGTTTTATTTTGATTGTTAAAATATTTTAAGTTTACATTTTTATGATTTAAGTAATTAGCTTTTTATTAAACTCACAAACTTGACAATGTAATGCACTTTATGTTGTTAATAACAATGAATGGAATATATTTTCTTTTTCTTTTTATATCAATATGGTACAAGATTATCCTAGTTAAATCAATGTGATAAATTAGGTTAAAAGTAACCTAAAATTAGTCTGATTATATTACCTAAAATGTGTAATGTGATGGATTACTACACTAGTCAACATTTTAAGTGGATTAAAACCTTTCATCAAAGTTGTCCTAAAACCTAAAAACCAAAATGCGTTCTGGTCCTTTGATGAACTTTTTTTTTGTTCCACTTCAAATGTTGACTACTATAATTACAATTCTTGTAATGTAATTTGTAGGACTACAATTTGTTAGTAATCTACCCAGCACTGCTTACCTGGTCATATGAAATATTTATGTAGGCTAAACCAAACCTGTCAATAAAAAGCGGCCTGTATTGATCATAACCTGTCAGGTTTATCTAGTAAAATACAACAAAATAATAAAATATCAATATTGATTCATAGGATGGTTTTAGTATCATGTAAGTTGATGAACGCCACTATGGCGAAAGCTTGGCTCATTAATATAAATGAACCTACGCATGCTGCTCCAGGAAGGTTACCAAGCGAAGTGGATTAAAACCTTTCATCAAAGTTGTCCTAAAACCTAAAAACCAAAATGCGTTCTGGTCCTTTGATGAACTTTTTTTTTGTTCCACTTCAAATGTTGACTACTATAATTACAATTCTTGTAATGTAATTTGTAGGACTACAATTTGTTAGTAATCTACCCAGCACTGCTTACCTGGTCATATGAAATATTTATGTAGGCTAAACCAAACCTGTCAATAAAAAGCGGCCTGTATTGATCATAACCTGTCAGGTTTATCTAGTAAAATACAACAAAATAATAAAATATCAATATTGATTCATAGGATGGTTTTAGTATCATGTAAATTGATGAACGCCACTATGGTGAAAGCTTGGCTCATGAATATAAATGAACCTACGCATGCTGCTCCAGGAAGGTTACCAAGCAACGTCGGTTGAAAATAAGGAATATTCATTAGCGTAGCCTTCGCCGTGGTATGATTCTGAACTTCGCCGCAGCAGCGTAATGAATATTCATTAGCAGCTGCTCTCTAGCGCCTCCCCTCCATATTCCTTCACGCTTTCCATATTCCTTCCTTCATTCATCCGCACTGCACACCTCGTCCACAGGCATCATGGTGCTCGATTTAGACCTGTTTCGCACCGACAAAGGCGGCGATCCTGAAATCGTGCGGGAAACCCAGAGGAAACGGTTCAAAGATGTGTCTCTGGTGGATAAACTGGTCGAGGCGGACACAGAATGGAGGAAATGTGAGTAGCGGCTAACGCTAAAGCTATTGAAACACATAGCAGCCTGTGAATGAAAACAGATTGTGACACGTATAACAGATCTGTTCATAAACATTAAGCCTTTACAATGTAAAACATACACTAATTGAACTATAGCACATGATAAAGTTCAAATTAAATGTGTATAAATGTTCAGAAACCTCATTGCCGGTGTACTGGAGTAGCATGTAGCATTGACGCTAATAGTTATCACAGCTGTCATAGCGTGTTTAACCTTTTTTTCTTTATTTAATGAAAGTAGTATGTGCTATTGAGCCTAATATATGTGTATATGATATGTTATTTGGAGAGGTATGAGTATGTAACTTATTGATTAAATGTGCCGCAGCAGGATCTGATGCAATCTCTGTGTCAGTGAAACGGGAGGAGCTGCTGGCTGTCAGTGCTGTTGTGTGACTGTCAGTGGTTTACAATGTTCTTGACTTTGCAACTAAAGTCAGAATATTAGAGAATGACAGGTTGTCCATTTAATTTGCTATTCATTTACATCCATCTAAAAGTCTCACTAGTAAGAGATTTGAGCTTGGTATGCTTTAACATGGATCACATAGAAGCAAGTGATCCTTCAATGAATTGCTTTATTCTTTAGATAACTGGTTATTATGCTTTTGGGCTGAGTGGCATTAAACAGCTTGAAAGATCAAAGACGATTTTTAATATAACTCCGACTGGATTCGTCTGAAAGAAGAAAGTCACATACACCTAGGATGACTTGAGGGGGAGTCATTTATGGGCTAATTTTCATTTTTGGGTGAACTAACCCTTTAAGGTCAATTTAAAATGAAATCTTTTACTTTGGGCTGCACTTTCTTGTTGCACGTGTTTTCTATTAAACTATTCCAGTAAATAATCCCAGGAGTCCCATTGGAGCAATAATCAGATTGTTTCTACAAGAATATGCTAAGCTTAACTGCAGAGTTGGATCAATTTAAACTGGTAATAAGGGAACAATTAACATAAAAAACAGCAAGATGCTTTCCTGGCCTCATCTGGTCTCCAATCCTGGTCAGGCTAATCTAAACCCAGCAAACCACTTTAGGCTGGTTTTGTATAGCAGAGATGGAAATTCTTTTTGAGAAATGGGAACTGGAAAATGATCAAAACATTCCTGATAACTACACAAATCACACTGAACACCTTCAACATTAGCTTACTGGCCAGAAGAATGTAATAGTCAAGCCATGTTTGAAGGAATAAAGCTTTTCTTATAGAGCATGTCATCTATATATTATATAAACATTTTCTTATAGACAGTGCTAGGTAACTGATTTCATGTAATCTGGATTACGTAATCAGATCCCAAAAACTAAGTACTTTTTATTGCATTATATTACATTTTAAAATACTTGTAATCACAGTAACTTTTTATTGATTATATGATTATATACTATTTACACATTGGCAAAAAAATATTCATAATTTATCTGATGATTCTCCCTAATTCTTCTTTTTCATCTTTTAAATGTTGCTTTATAAAATATCATACTTCTTATATACCTGTGCATATTCAAATATTTATTATTTTTAGTGTTTTATTTTGATTGTTAAAATATTTTAAGTTTACATTTTTATGATTTAAGTAATTAGCTTTTTATTAAACTCACAAACTTGACAATGTAATGCACTTTATGTTGTTAATAACAATGAATGGAATATATTTTCTTTTTCTTTTTATATCAATATGGTACAAGATTATCCTAGTTAAATCAATGTGATAAATTAGGTTAAAAGTAACCTAAAATTAGTCTGATTATATTACCTAAAATGTGTAATGTGATGGATTACTACACTAGTCAACATTTGAAGTGGATTAAAACCTTTCATCAAAGTTGTCCTAAAACCTAAAAACCAAAATGCGTTCTGGTCCTTTGATGAACTTTTTTTTTGTTCCACTTCAAATGTTGACTACTATAATTACAATTCTTGTAATGTAATTTGTAGGACTACAATTTGTTAGTAATCTACCCAGCACTGCTTACCTGGTCATATGAAATATTTATGTAGGCTAAACCAAACCTGTCAATAAAAAGCGGCCTGTATTGATCATAACCTGTCAGGTTTATCTAGTAAAATACAACAAAATAATAAAATATCAATATTGATTCATAGGATGGTTTTAGTATCATGTAAATTGATGAACGCCACTATGGTGAAAGCTTGGCTCATGAATATAAATGAACCTACGCATGCTGCTCCAGGAAGGTTACCAAGCAACGTCGGTTGAAAATAAGGAATATTCATTAGCTTAGCCTTCGCCGTAGCAGCGTAATGAATATTCATTAGCAGCTGCTCTCTAGCGCCTCCCCTCCATATTCCTTCACGCTTTCCATATTCCTTCCTTCATTCATCCGCACTGCACACCTCGTCCACAGGCATCATGGTGCTCGATTTAGACCTGTTTCGCACCGACAAAGGCGGCGATCCTGAAATCGTGCGGGAAACCCAGAGGAAACGGTTCAAAGATGTGTCTCTGGTGGATAAACTGGTCGAGGCGGACACAGAATGGAGGAAATGTGAGTAGCGGCTAACGCTAAAGCTATTGAAACACATAGCAGCCTGTGAATGAAAACAGATTGTGACACGTATAACAGATCTGTTCATAAACATTAAGCCTTTACAATGTAAAACATACACTAATTGAACTATAGCACATGATAAAGTTCAAATTAAATGTGTATAAATGTTCAGAAACCTCATTGCCGGTGTACTGGAGTAGCATGTAGCATTGACGCTAATAGTTATCACAGCTGTCATAGCGTGTTTAACCTTTTTTTCTTTATTTAATGAAAGTAGTATGTGCTATTGAGCCTAATATATGTGTATATGATATGTTATTTGGAGAGGTATGAGTATGTAACTTATTGATTAAATGTGCCGCAGCAGGATCTGATGCAATCTCTGTGTCAGTGAAACGGGAGGAGCTGCTGGCTGTCAGTGCTGTTGTGTGACTGTCAGTGGTTTACAATGTTCTTGACTTTGCAACTAAAGTCAGAATATTAGAGAATGACAGGTTGTCCATTTAATTTGCTATTCATTTACATCCATCTAAAAGTCTCACTAGTAAGAGATTTGAGCTTGGTATGCTTTAACATGGATCACATAGAAGCAAGTGATCCTTCAATGAATTGCTTTATTCTTTAGATAACTGGTTATTATGCTTTTGGGTGATTCTTGTGAAAGCTGGCAATAACGTGTCCAGGATAAAATAGAAATTATATTTTGAAGAAATTAAATGAATAGTTTACAGTTAATTGTTTGTGACATTATTTTATGACAATTAAGCACCCCACCAATTCTTTTTTTTGTAATATAGAGAAATAAGGAAATTGTAAGTTATGAATACATAATTGTCATCTTTGTTTTATGATGGATTATAATTATTTATATAATATTTAAAGAGTTTTAATATTTTGTTTTATTTATTTATTTTTATTTATTTCAGTTTTAGTAATTTCAGTATTTTAACTTAAACTTATTTCAGTTAGTTACCCATGCAACATTTCTAATATTAATTTCAAGTCACCCTGAAATCACTTTTTTTTTTGTGGAATATTGCATCTATTATAAATGATTTATCTGTGGGCATGATTTTTTTTTTTTTTGTAATTCACGTGCCTTCGCAATCTTTAAATAAACATGTTTAATTGAATTTAATATTTAATTTTAAGGATTTAATAGTAATATTTAATCAAAATAACAATCCTCCCTCTCTCAAAAACGCCTCTAATCTGGTGACATTTTTCTAATTTCTTTTTCAAGAAGCTGCTACACTCAGATATACATCACATTAGGGAAGAAAAGACTATCGCAACTTTTGTTTCATGGTGACGTTAAATTTAATTTAATATTCACATTTTATTTAAAGTTTATTTCAGTTAATGAACATTGTTTTGTAATTTACAATATACACCTTTTTGTTTTGTTTCTGTTATGTTTTCTTTTGTTTGGTGATGTTGTGTATTACTTATTGTAGTATTTAATGATTTCAAAATTTATGTCTTAATGCTTTTTGATGGTTGCTATTTCTGATGTTTTGGCTGTGCAGCACCTTGGTCAGCACTCGTGGCTTTTAAGGTGCTATATAAATAATCTTGACCTTGACCAATATATTATATTGTGAAATATATTTTATATTAGTGAATATAATATTATTCTAGTGAAAATATGCTAATACAACATATTGCAATACAGTTAGATTTTTTATAAGTTGGTGCCAGAGTCATACTTGATGTTATGAGGAATACAACTACTGAAAAGTAAACAAAATTAAATGAATTTAGTCTAATTCCACATTTACTCTCTAAAGCACATTTACTCATCCAAATATCTTTCATTTTCTCCAGGTGATTTCAAAACTTCAGACAGTATAATTACTCTTGCCAGACCACTTGCCAGTATATCAGTGACATGCATTGATGTTAAAAAATACTTCTCTTTTTTTTTTGGCTCCAGGTCGCTTCACTGCAGATAATCTAAACAAGGCCAAGAATCTGTGCAGCAAAGCCATTGGGGAAAAGATGAAGGTACGTAAATCAGCTGTCATATGTTTGTTTTGATCTGTTATCACTGAGTAATAAGAATATTCTGCTTGATGGTCTTATGATGATTTACTCTGTTTTTTGCAGAAAAAAGAGCCAGTTGGTGATGATGACACACTTCCAGAAGAAGCTCAGAATCTGGAAGCCCTCACTGGAGAAACATTATCAGTGAGTCGAGCAATAGCGACACATTAAATTGATCAAAAGTGACAGTAAAGTCATGTGACACTGAAGACTGGATTAATGGCTGCTTTGCCATCTCAAGAATTAATTCCATTTTAAATTGTAATAATATTTCACAATATAACTCTTTTTGCTGTATTTTTGATCAAATAAATGCAGCTTTTGTGAGCATGAGAGAGATGTCTTTCGAAAGAATTAAAAATCTTTTGAATTCAAGTGCATTCATATTAAGTTAAACTCATCAAACAATCATCCACATCTATCTGTGACCAGTATTTCTCCATCCTGTTCCTGTCAGCCCCTTACGGTGACTCAGATAAAGAAGGTGAGGTTACTGGTGGACGAGGCCGTGCAAAAAACAGACAGTGATCGGTTAAAGCTGGAGGCGGAGCGCCTTGAGTACCTGAGAGAGATCGGCAACCTCCTGCATCCCTCTGTGCCCATCAGTAACGATGAGGTGAGTTTCAGTCATCAGTTACGGTGTGTGTTTTTATATAAACAGTACACTGGGCAGGCCCTGCTAACATGCAACCACCAAGAAACCTTCATGGAATTAGAACAGACAAATTAACCATACTATGTTGTTTAACCATACCGTTGTCATAACAGTGTTTCTCTTACCCAGGATGCTGATAATAAAGTGGAATGCACCTGGGGCGACTGTACGGTGCAGAAAAAGTACTCTCACGTAGACCTGGTTGTCATGGTGGATGGATACGAAGGGGAAAAAGGAGCCATAGTGGCTGGAAGCAGAGGATACTTCCTCAAGGTTTGTTTAACCGTCTGGTATTGTTCATTTGGGCGTCACACTCGTGGTCAAAACTGACCGGGGGCCATAATCATGTAATAATTTTATTTTTGTGAAATGAATATACGACTATTTCATTTCGAAAATGTTTTTTATTTAATATCTTGCAGGTTTTTCATGTTACTAATTAATATTCATATTTAAATTCTGGACTATTTTCTGTATAAAATGTAAAAATCATTTTATGTAATTTTTCAATTAATGCAGTGTTTAAGATAAAAATAAAGCAAAAGTATTTAAAATCCATTGAATTGAGGCAGATATGTTCCACATTGTGGAAGAAAAAATAAAGAAAATCATGTGTCATATCATGGTGTAGCCGTCTGATGCCTGTATAGCCATATATATTCAGTGCTGTGTAATCGTTAGTTACTGAGCAGTGTTTTCAGGCATAATTGCTTAAAGGTCCACTGAAGTGCCTTGAAACACGCACCGTTATTCTATGTGTTGACGTCAGGTTAACTGAAACAAGAAGACAGGGTGGGACATATCAAGCAGCCCCGCCCCCTTTTTAAATTAGCCAGTAGCGTTAGTTTATATCACAGCTTGGGCTAGAGCCATTGAGCTCGGTAAAGCCACATTTGACAGGGTATGACAGCCACAATCTCATCCATATTGCTTCAAAATATAGCATTCTGTGTAAAATTCAAATGGGGCCGACTCGTGCATATGATCCGCTCCGTGCTATCATGTCTCTGGACCAGAGCAGGCTGTGTGCGCGGTGCGTCAATTAGTGTGACAGCACGAAACCAGACTTCTTTTGCCCCAATGTAAAGCATATTTACACTGTCTGAATCGTTCACCGTACAGAAAATACAAATCCTGTGAACGAGTGACCGATCTCAGCCGGCACTTCAGCGTCTATTTATAGTGCAGGGGGCTTCGGATTCTAGAGAGCATTTGATTGGACAAAGAAAATTTGATGAGAAGCTGAAGTACGAGGTGACGTCAAAAAAATCGTTGAGCCATTTTGGTGGAAGTGACGAACTCCAAGCTTTGAATGCTTATATCTTAATGCGAATTTTGCCACTGTTTTAAAGTACACTGGCTTATAGATAACCTTAAGACTAACATATTGATACTAACACCCAAAAAACTTTAATTTTGATTTTTACATTTTGTCACCCCTTAATTGCTGTGCACTTTTTTTATGCATTGTGGCCAATTTGTAGATTGTACACACAAAAACATCTGCGTTATTTTTGTATTTATGCTTATTTCCCATTTCCTGTGGCGGTCATTTTTGACACAAGTGTGACTTTTTTTTTAATGACCATTTAGCTTTTTCAAATCAAGTCCACAATTTTTTGGGCGTCACATAGAGTTTCATTCCATTCTGATGACATTTTTTTTTGTGCATTGTTAAACTATGCAAGTATGTGAACCAAAGGAAAACTGCACTGCTAAACATCTTGAGCCCATTTTTGCTTTGTTGCACAGTATTTAAACACGTTCCACTGCCAGTTCTTCGAAACAAACTACCCAAAAAGCCTTTTTGTAAATATCATGGCTGATGTGTTCTATTTCAGGGGCCTTTAGTTTTTTTGGAACAGGCTTTAATTAACTACGCACTGCGGATCCTGTACAGCAAGAACTACAACCTTCTGTACACACCCTTCTTCATGAGGAAAGAAGTCATGCAGGAGGTCGCTCAGCTCAGCCAGTTTGACGAGGAGCTCTACAAGGTTTGACCTACATCTGTTACTTTATTTTAGCCATTAATTTGACATTTTGATTTTTTGATTTGAATTATTTTTACCCAATAAAAGTATATAACTTTGATGTGAGGAGTATTTATTGATTCATCTGACCCAAAGCAATGGCAGAGTATTTCAAAATCTCATACCATCAAGCTAGAACCACTTAATGCAATTAATAAAACCAAAAAAATTTATGAAATAAATTTTATATAGATATATTATTTTATATAGGATAACATATATAGAATATTATTTTGTACTTTTTATTTATTTTGTTATATATATATA